ACTACAACATAATATTTAAGGTAAAACATATTAAATAATAATATAATTATATAACTATAATTAAAAAATAAATTTGGGTTAAAAAAAGCATAACAAAATGATATTGTTTGGTTTAATTTTTTAAAAAAATAATCTCACATGGCTAAGAACATAGAGCAGCCCAAAAAGTCTAAAGAGTAAAAATATGAGAATAAAACAATCCACATTGCTAAGAAACATAGAAGCGCATTACAACTAACTTCTATAAATAATAGAAGTAATTTGGCATTCAAAATCATGGAGCCTTTTGGTGAGCATTGAGTGAACTATTCTTTCACTTCAATCAAGCTCGAATTTTAGGCTTCAATCGAGCTTCTAAATTTTTTTTGAGGTTTAAGCCTTTTTGAGTTCAAGTTTCAATATTATATTTTGAGTTTGAGTCGAACTTGATAATTTTTAGCTTGTGAGTTTGAGTTGAGTTGAGCTTACTTTTAAAGTTTTTAAGTTCGAGTCGAGCTCAGCAATACTCGAGTTCGACTTGGCTCGTTTAACATACGACGTTGTTTGGTTTAATTTTTTAAAAAAAAAACAAAAATCTCGATTTTTTCCGGTTTTTAGTCGGTCCGGTTCGAACGGTTCAGCGGTTCTGGCCGGTTCACTAATAACGGTTCAACCGATTTAGATTGAATCGGACTAAACAACGATTTTTGATTAAACCGGTTGAACCGACCAATCCAGTCCGATTTTTAAAATTAAATCATTGGATTGCATGTGCAGTAGAACCTGATCAGCAGCTGTGGATGCCGAGGAAGGGTTACCTTTATAATAGGTTAATTACACTAGATATCCTCAAATTAAGGCCAAAAATTTAAGGTAATCCTTAACATCTAAGCAAAACATGCTCGTTTTGATAGGTACACTTGTTTAAGATTCAATCTATTGTATTTCAAATGTTCTCGACATCACTTTCAAGCTAACATTTATTAACGTCTAAGCTTATGGTTAGGCCAACAAAAAAAAACGATTCTATTGATACAATATTGATAATTTTGAGGACTCCATCCTAACATTTTGAAATTTAGGCTTTGTTTTAAACTTGGAACCATAATTTAGGGAGACAATGGAATTAACTCCCTGTGTTTCCTTCAAAGACACAAAAGGCCAAAGGAAATGGTGTCGTTTTTATCACAACTTTTGTCTTTACCTTTAACGTTCTCTGCCCTGTACCCCTTATTGGGTCAATTCAAACATCTATCATATGTCGAAAATTGTAGCAAAAATCTCTACTATGTTTTCCCTGCACACCACCCATATACTCTTCTATTCATGGTGTACATATGGAAACTAAAATAACACCAAGTTCAAATATATAATTATATTCGAGTTCTTTTTAATAGCATAAAGTAATTATAAGTCGATATTTATTTATAATTTTTTTTTAAAGTTGACAACGTATACGTATCATTGACATAGTCTAATGAGCTGAATTCTAATCGTAATCTAACACTAGCTTTATTATAATTTGATCATTAACGGTCCAAAGAAATGATTCATAGCAGCTGTCATTGCAAACTTTCAGACCCCATCAAAAGCTATTCACAAAACAATATTCCTCATAGCAACTGATGATTGTATATGTCATCTCTTTCCTTTTTTATGTTTACTTTCCCTATTTCCCATGCTTTACCAATTCATATTCTACCAAGAAGAAAGAATCAACAGCTTACAGTGAACTGAGCTGAGTGCTGACCCTTTTTCTCTTTCTTTGTTTCTTCGTTGTGAGTTCCAATGGAGATTTTGACGTGGTCAATCTTCAATCTCTTGTTTTTCTCCATGTTGGTCGCGGTAGTGTTAGCCGCTGATCCTTATTCAGATGCTTTGTTGAGCTTAAAATCGGACATTATTGATGATTCCAAGAGTTTGGATGATTGGAAAGTGGTTTCCGAGGGAAATATTTCTGGGAAAATACTTGCATGTTCTTGGTCTGGTGTTGAATGCAACGAAAATTCCACCATTGTTACAAGCTTAAACCTTTGTATGAAGAATCTTGCTGGTAAGTTACCGGGAAAGCAACTCGGTGTTTTAACTCAGCTTGTTGGTCTCAACATCAGTCAAAACTCGTTCTCCGGTGAACTTCCGGTGGAAATCTTCAACCTCACGAACCTGAGAATCTTAGATATCAGTGGGAACAACTTTTCCGGCCGTTTTCCGAGGGGAATAACCGGTATGAGAAACCTGGTTCATTTGATGCTCTTAGCAACAGTTTTTCAGGGCCATTGCCGGTTGAGGTTACCGAGCTTGAATCTCTGAAGGTTCTCAATTTAGCCGGTAGCTACTTCGACGGTCCAATCCCATCTTCATATGGGTCTTTCAAGAGACTTGAATATCTCCACTTAGCAGGGAATTCCCTCACCGGAAAAATACCGCCGGAGCTGGGGAATCTCAAAACGATGACACATATGGAGATTGGGTACAATTTTTATGAAGGGAACATCCCATGGCAGTTGAGCAACATGAGCGAGCTTCAATATCTCGATATTGCTGGTTCAAATCTTTCCGGTTCAATCCCGAGGGAGCTCTCGAATCTAACCAAGCTCGAGTCACTTTTTCTCTTCCGAAACCGACTCACCGGACCGATCCCATGGGAGTTCAGCCGAATAGTTCCTCTCACAGATTTGGATCTATCTGATAACTTGATTTCTGGGCCAATTCCTGAGAGTTTTGCAGAGCTGAAGAATCTAAGATTGCTCAGTCTTATGTTCAATGAAATGAACGGCACTGTCCCAGAAAGCTTAGCTGAGCTTCCATCGATGGAAACTCTGTTTATATGGAACAATTTCTTCACCGGAACACTTCCGAAAAGCTTGGGGATTAACTCCAAGCTTAGATGGTTGGATGTTTCAAACAACAGTTTCATTGGCAGTATTCCACCTGGTATCTGTACTGGTGGTAAGTTGTTTAAATTGATGCTCTTTTCAAACAACTTCACAGGCAATCTGTCTCCTTTGTCTAATTGTTCGTCACTCGTTCGTATTCGGGTGGAGGATAATTCGTTTTCAGGTGAGATTCCTTTGAAGTTCAGTGATTTTCCTGATATCACATACATAGATTTGTCCAAGAACAGGTTTACTGGTGGAATCCCTTGGGATATTTCTCGAGCTTTAAAGCTTCAGTATTTCAGTGTCGCTAATAATCCAGAACTAGGGGGAACCATACCAGAAAACATATGGTCTTTGCCATTTCTTCAAAATTTCTCTGCATCATATTGTAACATCTCAGGGAATCTACCTCCTTTTAGATCATGCAAATCCATTGTTGTCGTTCAATTGCGGATGAACAATATCTCGGGATCGATCCCGGAGAGTATTTCAGATTGCCATTCGCTTGAGATGATTAACTTAGGTAGCAATCATTTAACTGATAATATACCTAAGGAACTTGCTAGTCTTCCTTCTCTAGTTTTTGTGGATTTGTCGCATAACGATCTCGTCGGTTCGATACCTGTAGAGTTCGGCAAGTCTTCAAGCTTAGTACTTCTGAATGTATCATACAATGATATCTCAGGTACCATACCTTCGAAAAAAGTGCTGCGATCAATGGGTAGAACTGCATACATTGGGAACCCGGAGCTATGTGGGAAACCTCTGAAATCATGTTCAAACCCAATCAATGGAAAAAAGCTTAGGTTAATACTGTTGGTATCTGCAGGAGCAATCATACTCATTGCAGCAATAGTTTTCGGGCTCATTTATCGTCGAAAAGAAAGCAAAGGGCAATGGCAAATGAACTCATTTATCGGTCTTCCTCAGTTTACTTCCAACGACATTTTGAGGAGCTTCGATTGTGCTAATTCCATGGAAGAACTGCCACCATTTTCCGGTGCATTTTGCAAAGCAGTGCTGCCTACTGGGATAACTGTGCTGTGAAAAAGCTAGAATGGGAGCCGAAGAGAGTGAAGGTTGCCTCGGAGTTTATAACACAACTGGGAAGTGCAAGGCACATGAATTTGATCAGATTACTGGGTTTTTGCTACAACAAACAGATGACTTACCTGCTCTATGATTACTTGCCTAATGGGAACTTAGCTGAGAAACTGAGAATGCAAAGAGATTGGGGTATGAAGTGTAGGATTATGATTGGAATTGCAAAGGGAATTTGCTTCCTTCACCATGACTGTAACCCTGCAATTCCTCATGGCAATTTGAAGTCGAGTAATGTGATCTTCGATGATAATTCCGAACCCCGTTTAGCCAATTTCGGGTTTAAGCATCTGATGCAGTTGATCAAAGGTACAACTCCAGCATCTTCTAGGTTGGGAACAGGTACATTATCTATTCACTTTCCATGCATTCCTTCATTCAAAACTTTCATACATCCATCTATTCCGACTCGAATCCGATTGGATCATAAACAGTCGAACTTGAAACAGGTGAATCCAACGATATCAAAGAGGAACTATACAAAGACATATACAACTTTGGGGAGATAATTCTGGAAATACTAAGCAATGGTAAGTTGATGAATGGTGGAGCAAGCATTCATATCAAACCAAAGGATGCTGTTCTGAGAGAAATTTACCATGAAACGAAGCCGAATCCGCCAATTCATTGCAAGAAGAAATAAAAGGGTTGTTGATGTTGCTCTCCTCTGCACCAAAAGCAGGGCAGTAGACAGGCCTTCCATTGAAGATGCATTGAAGCTTCTTTCGGGGTTGAAGGCCAAAGGTAAGTGATAAATGCAACTGCTTCTAAAAGGAGAGTTGCGTTATGTGTACTTCACAACCATGCATATACAGTTTGGTAAATAGAGTTTGTCAATTAGAGCAAGTTTCATAGTGGTATATATTTCAATTGTGTTTTTGATTTGGTTGTGAATTGTCTTATTAATCATAATATACATTATTTTGAATGAAAAAACAATAGATAATTGTAATATCTACTCTTCATTAATAGGCTAATGATAATTAAAAACTGAATATCATTAAATAACTCAAATAAAATTGGTTTTTTTATTAAAAACATTTACATGTTTAAACCCTTCAAATGCACATCAAGCGCGTCAACAACACCTTGAAAGCTGCCAAAATCGGAACTCACAGCGTCGACTTCCACCCCCAACCTCTCCGCTCCCGCCGCCGTGATCGGTCCATGAGCCGCCACCACTAAACGCGGCCACCTCCTCCTGACCATCCCCCAATCCCACCCCAACTCTTTTAAGCTCTTCAAAAACCCTTCCACTTCTCCACTACTCGTAAAAACAATGGCGTACGCTTCATCTTCTTTCTCCTCCTGCCCTTTTTCCACCACTCCCTTAACACAATCGGGTCCCAACCATCTGGTTTCATAGGCGTCGACCCGAACCGGGAACCACCCACCGCTCTTCAAATCGTTGAGGAAATCCGGGACGACCGGCGGTTCGTTTAGTCCGACGACTTTGGGAACCGGACATAACACTTTTCGACCGTATCCTTGCCCGAGAGACAAGGCTAAGCTGTTGGGAGTGGCGATGGGAGGGACTAGGATTTTAATCCGTTGCAAGTTGGAACAAATTTGGGAGATGAAAGGGGTGTCGATTAGCTCTGAATCTTTGCCTAACGCGGCGAGGATAAGCGTGGGGCCGTGAGAGGGGAGGAGGGGTTTCGGGAGAGAGGTGGCTGCGAGGGAGAAGGAGGTGATGGAGGCGCGAGAAGGGAAGGCGACGGCGGAGAAGAGGGAGAGGGAGGATGGGGAAAGGTAGGGGAAGAGTGATTGGGGAGTTGGGGACGTGGTGATGGTGGGGCACCAGAGAGGATTGTGGCCTTTGAGAGTGAGGAGGTCGGAGAGTCTGGCGGCGTAGTTCGTTGGGGTGGTGAAGATGACGGTGCGTTTCACGGTTGCGGTGGACAGAGTGGTGAGGTTGAGGATTGGCACTGCCATTAAAGAAAATATGCTCTTTGTGGTAATTGGTGCCTCCTTAAACAAAACCGATCGTCAAATCTTGTAATTAAATATCAATATTTTGGTGGATCAAGTTGTAGTATAGTGGTGAGTATTCTCGCCTATCATGTGGGCAACCTGGGTTTGGTCCCCGGCAAACGTCGTTGAAATTTTATGTCTCCATTTTCATGGTTTTAGTCCCTAAACTAAAATCTTAAATTCAGCTTAGTGATGGGACCTAAAACCATAATTAGACCTATATTTGTAACCTTAACTCAAATTTTGAAGGCAATGGCATCTCAAACTCGGTTATGGTCTGTTTCAACGAATTCTTAAATTGTATAATTTATTTCTTCGTTTTCAGGGTTTAGTTCTGGTTTTAGTCCCTATGCTTTACTAAAATCTTAAATTCAACATGTAATGGGACCTAAAACCATAATCAGACTTATAGTTTGTAACCCGATCTCAAATGCTGGGGGTAATGCCATCTCAAACTCAGATATGGGTTGTTTCAACAAATTCTAAAATTGTAAATATTGATTACCAGAGAATACAGGACATATACACTGAAGTAGAATGCAACCATCTCCTGCTTCATACAACGCTGTCTATAACAAAGATACAAGAAGCAAATATGTGACAATATTGGCTAATAAGTTCAAACAGAAACACATCTTACCAAGTACAAAGCACAGATTCCTACAAAAACCAGATTATTCTAACATGGCGTCCATACATAAACCTGACCTCACTGGTGGCTCCTGCGAACATCCCAACCTCATAAGGGTATGCTTCGAATCTGCAGGGAATCACAGACATTTATGGACTCTGTAATGTCATTACCGTTCTTCGTTGTGCTGTCGAGATCACATCAACACCTCTTTTCATGTTGCCAATGAAGATATATGAATCATCCCACCCCCATATACCTCTGCATACAAATACACATGTTGTGCGTATAATATCAGAACTCAGACATAGTCGACTACACAACAGAACATCGAGCAGAGTATTTGAGAAGAACATAGAAGTACCTAAAAGAAGAAATCCATCTTCCCGTCCAATTATTATGGTATATCATACAAGTGTCCTCAAAACTGGCTCCACTTGTTATACTGATGTTGTCGTTCAAACTATTAGTAAAAGGAAACAACATTAGCACAACAGGGGCAAAACAAATGAAATACTGCTTAAATCCAGTTAATTGTAGATGATCCAATGCAACTAGAACCTATGTTTGGTTAGACCCTTCATTCCTCATGAAGTATCCATGTCTAACTCATGGATATAGAGGGATATGACCTCCAAATATACAGAGCTTCGACGACACTCCTATATGAGGTTCATGGATAAATCAATTGTTTGCTGTCAAATGGAAGTCCTAGAGACTTTTTACGACCATGTGCAACAATATTTGTAGCTTATCTATAATATCTCACCAAATTAAGCAATGATTTACACTGCCAAAAGGACGTAGTTAATAAACAAAGTAACATCTTAGAACTACCTAGTGCAAGTCAATCATAATATGACATAATAAGCTCTGTCCTGAAAAGCAAGTTGCTATTTTGAGACAAAAGATATTAATCAACTAGAGGGTTAATAAGAAAACAAATACCTTGTTGTAGCTAGAGAGCTTCCAGAGGGTGAGAAGTAAGCAGAGTGAACAGCCCTATTATGGCTCACAGTCCTCAAGGTTTTGGGTTTGAGTGTTCATACTCCTTAAATCCCAAATGCAAGTAATGCCATTCGTTGAACAGGTTGCCATAATGTTGGGGTTTTGTGAGTTAAAGCTTATGGTGTTGATCCTATCTTCATGGAGCATCCAGTTTTCGCTTGACTTCCCGGTCCGAATATCCCAGACATTCAATCCTCCATGACCTTCGCCAAAATATAGGTTTGCCGAATTGTTAGGCTTTTGAGAAAGGGAATAAACAGTATCATCACAGGAATGCACCAGATCAAATACTTCCTTCTCAGCATCCATTAATCAAATAAGCCCATCATAGCAGCTGCTGTAAATCTGCATCCAAATATATGGATCCCCTTAAGGAAATTGTAAACTTGAAATCATGAACTCAAAAGTAAAACCTTGGTATAATAAATAAAGTTCAAAACACAAAGTGCCTTTGACATTAAATATTGTTTAATCAAGATCCCGGAAATAGGACGCAATATGGGCTATAAAGATATATGCCATCATCCTTAGAATCCTTAGAATCCACATTCCAAAATGCAATGTTCCCAAATTTGTTCCCAGCTGCAATCAAACTCATACTACTGCTACGGAAACACTTAACCACCATTATCCGTGCTACATGTTCCGGTTTCAAATCCAATAACTCCAGCCATGAATCAATCTTCTCAATCTTAACTGAACTGTCCAAATGCTCAGTTTTAACCACGCACTTAACCGACTTTCTTTTTCCACACAAATTCTTATCAAACTCTTCCTTAACAGATGATTCAAAAGCCTCACTTTTGTAAGATCCCAATGTTCCTTTCCCACTAAAATCGTTACAATTCTCATCTTTAATATCATTAACAATAACACCATTAAAATCTTCTTTGACCGAATTATCAACATGGGTATCCTTTGCGATACTCAAAATTGTCCCAACCAATACTTGATTAGACTCTATTTCGTCTCCACTGTAAGCATCTTTCATATCAATAGGACCCAAAACTCGAGGCAATTGTGGCTTTAAAGGGCTAGCAGATTTTGGGGTTTTATCGAAATCTTCACTAAAATCATCAGCCAAACCCTTTGAATACGGTGGCATACCTCTTGTTCGCAGCGACGGTCAAATTACGACCGGGGTCTCCGTCTTGGGTTTCTTCACCGGACTCACTTTATACGATTTTGTTCTACAATACAACCGTTTAAAAAAAAGAGTAAAAATCTCAACATCAAATTATTGTAAAGAAAACAACTGAAAAAACGAAGATGGATTCGTGTTACCTTTGGCGTTTGGAGGCGGAGGCGGCGGAGAGAGTGGCGGCTTTTGAGTGTATCTTGAGTGCTGCCACCATCTCTTCATTTCTCTTAATGTTTTCAAGTCTTTTACGTTCATACTCTGTTAGGTTTTGAGACGCCATGAAAGACAAAGATTTGGAGCAATGTACAAAGAGATGGAAGGGTTTTTTTTTTTTTTTTTTTTGCGTGTGAGAATATCGATTTTTACAGGGATCATTATGTAGGACGAAGATGATTGGAAGGGCGGCAAAAGATTTTGTAGTGCTACGTGGAAGGTCTCTGGCAGTTTATTACAAAAAAGCGTTCCAAAAGCCCATAAAATTCAGCAGACAAGGTGGCTCGGGTCTGTTTACAAGGTCCAGGGGAGCAAATGTATCATATTTAAAAGAATAAAATTATGTTTACGTTTATTTATTTTTTTAAAATATTTATGTTCCATTCTTATATGTTAAAATTGTTAATATTATGTTTGTATTTTTTATTTATTTTTAAAAATATTAATATTTATTCATTTAATTTTTTTAATATATTTATTTAACGTTTGTGAACCCATCTTTTAAGTTTCATTTAATATTAGGCAATCAAATTACGGGGGCTTAGATGGTTGTTAGAGAGAGAACTTCCTCTAGCTTCTCTCTTGTTTCCCCTCTTTGGGATATTAACTCCTGGTTTTCAAAGGTTCATATCTTTGACAATGGTTGGTTTTTGGTCAAGGCAAAATCTAGTTCTAGATTTCTCGTCCTTCATCGGTCTTCTTACTGGTTTTCTTTCAAATTTTTACTTTTATTTAAAGAAAGTCCCTTTACTTTCAAAAGTGGTGTCAATTTTAGGAATAATCAATTCTAGTTCCAAACCCTTAGGGTGCGTTTGGTTCACGGAATGTAAGATTATCAGTGGGGATGTAAGATTATCAGGGAATAGAATTACTGGGAATGTTGTATTTTGTGTTTGGTTGGCTTAGCAAGAATGTAAGATTACCGTGTTTGGTTAAAGGAATAAAAGATTATTGAAATGTATATTTGACCAAATTGTCCTTATTATATATTTGTAAAATATTACAAGTTGGAAAATATTTATATATTTTCTTTAAAAAAATTTAAATTCATAATATTTATATATTTTTTATAAAATTAAAAATAAAAAAAGTTTAATGGAAGGGTAAAATTTTATTTTAACCCTTGAACTTCATATAAAATTTTAATTATAGATTTTTTTTTGTAAATCTAAAATAATTTAAGGATAAATTTATAATTTAACATTCGTAGAATTTTTATTATTCAATGATAGAATAAATATATTTTTGAAAAAAAATAAAAATTTATGGGCATTTTAGTCCAAAACACCAGTAATCCAACAATACCTAAGGAAATAGAGATAATGACATTCCCGATAATATACCCAAAAAATCCACTATCGGTAATCTTACATTACCGGGAATAGGATTTCTGAGCTAACCAAACGGGAGAATATGAATTTCATTCCCATAGGAATCTCACATTCCCCATCCAAACACCCCCTAAATGACATTATTGTGTCCGCCCCGGTAAGTCTCTACTCTGAGTCCATCAATTCAATCATGGGGAATTTCAACCTTTTCTCGTTAAGCAGTTCACACTAAAAAGAACTCCCCGGAAGGAATCTAGACGGGGTAAGTCTCTACTCAATAAGAACATTTCGACTGATTGTAGTTACCAGAGTTATTATATCAGTTTCAGAATTGTGGGTAGTGGGGAAAAAATTAGCAGACAACTATTAATCCCGTAAAAGAAAAAGGGAGTTTTACATTACCGAAATTATAACCCTGGGTATAAGGAACAGGAACAGAACTGAAAAGGGCGTAGGGAATTTGAAATTTTTCAAATTTCTGATAGATTGTGAAAAGGGAAACCCCGTGATAAACAAGTCAGGATCCCAATTTGAAATACAACTCTTAGCTAGGAATTTCACTGATCACTTGGACGAACAAGAAATGCGAAGTAGTGAAGAAGTCCCGGTAACCAGAGTTGTTAATATGAGTGGTTGG